CAAGTTCTCTTGATTTTGGCAAGTTTCTTGTATTTTAAGCAAAAGTAAGTCATGATGCAAGACAAGCCTATACAGGCTATCTATCAGCTTGCTCTTTACAATCTTGGCCCCCTCAGTTTGTGGATATTGTGTGTTGTACCAGATCTTGTTCAAGGCTCAAGGATTCTATTTGACATAAAGCAAATTTGACAAAAATGGCAATGTTGCCTCTTTGTTATTTTAGGGTTAATTGTTTGTGTAATCCTCCCATGACCAGAACAAAGCCTCAAACCAATGGATTTGCATTTCATTATTGATTATGGAAGGGTTTTGGGACCTGTAATCAATTACAAACAAGTCTGATTAGAGTTTTCAACTTGTATCAATATGAAAATGCCATGGATCAAAAGTGAGTTTTTTCCAACTTCAAGCCTTCGATTCTCCCTAACCACAAATAATTTTGGAGATTTCTTGGAAATTTTAGAAATCTTGTAACATTCTCTACAATCCATATTTGAAATGCATTTTGATATTCCAAGTGGAACTAGGTGAAAAATTGTCAAGAAGATGGGTCAAAATCCTGCCTAAACTATGGCAAAATTTCACTAAGTTAAAAGTTTCAGGGACCCTTGTTCCAAAAATCATAACTTGAGATATAAGATTCTTTTGAGAAAACTTTGTGGATCAAAGTTGTATATTTTGTGGAGGACTACAACTCTCATGTTGTAAGTTTTGTTTGAATCCAATTGCATCATGGTGAAAATGTTGGGCAAAGTTGGGAAAAAATAAGAAAATTTCATAACTTAGAAAAATTTTAAGTTATGAAAATTTTCAATCTTAAACCCTAATTTGCAAAATTAGGTTTCTTGATGAAAAAGTTTCATGTTTTGATACATCTTGATGAAAAATAACCCTTGGCTCTTGATTTTGACCAAAAAGTCAAAGTTTGACTTTTCAGTGTACAGTCAAATTTTGATCAGTTGATTGAAAAATTCATCTGTCAATCCAATGCAATTGAGATCTTTTGAACCATGTGAATAGGTCAATATGATGCCATTGAGTCCTTGAATCCATGTTTGAATCCAATTTGCCATTGGTTAGGTGAAAAGTCAGAAATTGCCCTTCTGCAGTCAAAACACTAAAAATGACCATTTTGCCCTTTTGGTGATCTGATCAAATTTCTTGAGGAGTTGTGGTCCAAACTTGATCAAATGGTTCATATGAGCTTATAATGTTGATGTGGATCAAAATTAATGAGGTTTGACTGTAAATTGGCCACAGTTGACTTTTTCTCCAATACAGCTCATTTCTAGGTCAACTGTCCAATTGACTGGGCAAAAATTTGATTCAAGGCTTGAAACTTGGTATGGGAAATATTATAAGTCCAACATGAAGTATGAAAGTCACTTTGAGCATTGGAAGTCAAAAAAATACCTTGTGCAAACTCAAACCCTAATTTAGGTCAACAGTGTAAGGAGATGTCTTGAGCAGTGCAAAACCCTAATCTGGTCTTGAGTTCAAAGAGTCTTGTGATGAGAAATATTGATAAAATGAGAGGGAAAATTTTGGGGTATAACACCTAGCAATCATGATTTCTTCTCAATTAAGAAATGCTAGCTATTTGAAAGGTGGCCCTAACCACCTTGAATCCCTAAGTGCATTGCCTTTCCACTTAGTACACAAACCCTTATTTCACCATGAAGTACTTGAACCTGGATGTGCCATTTGGCCTTATGATCTTGCCTAGCAAGCCCATGTCCAGTCCTAGTGAATCTTGCTTCTCAAGGTTTTGCTCTGGCTTGGTCTATGCATGTTGACTTGTAGTTTTCCAATTTGTTTTACCTGTTTTCAATTAATGCATACTAGGAAAGTCTAAATTGGTGTTTTCTCACTATAAGTTATAAGTTCCTACATATTTTATGTGAACTTGGAACTTATTAACTCTCCCCATAGAACTTGGTTTAAGTTTTTAGTTATTGACTTTCATTGCCATGTTTTCACTTAAACAAATAATAAAGTTCAACTAATTCATGATCATGCTATTAATTTAAAGATAATCACACTATTAATCATAAATGAAGCTTTTGAATGAATAATTATTTTTATAATTACTTCATTTTTTATTTTGTCTTTATCCTATGCTTAGATTTATCGGATTTTTCAAATCACTTGAACCATCTGCGGACAAACACTTCTGAAAAAACTTTCAAATTTTTTGAGCAAAAGGTACTCATATATTTAAAACTTGATCATGTTCATGCTAAATAAATAAACGAAAGTAAATAGCAAAGTAAATTTCATAGGTTTATGTGAGCTTTAGTTGCACCATCAATTCCCTCCAAAAAATTTGGCCTGTTCTTAGACTTCCATCATGTGAAAATGGAAATTTAAATCAAAAACCTACATCAAGGATATGTAACTTTGTCTTAGCGCAATAACATTTCGCTAGGAAAAATTTTGTAAACTTAAAAAATGAAAAGTCAGTGAAGTTTTCTCTTGCTTAGTGAAAGTACTGCAAAATCTTAAAACCTATTATTTTTACTTGTTTCATGGAAATATAAATTGCACAAAAGAAAATCTACAACTAAATAGTTGAGTTTCCTACCAACAAGTACTTGTTTAATGTCATTAACCAATCACTCAAGATTATACAAATATACCTTAAGCAAGTAACAAAAATGATTTCATTCAACAAAGGAGTATTTTTACATGTTTTTCCATTACAGGGTACTATAAAACAATACCAAAAAAGGCTTGAGTGGAGTAAAACTAGGATGCATGGTTACTGAGTGGAGGAATTATAGGAGAACACTTCTTCCCTCACGTTGCCCACGTCTCCACTAATTCATAATGTTCCTCTTTACGCGTGTTATGGTCGTCACAGGTGGGTGACGGTCGTAATGCGCTTAAATAGCGCATTACACTCGTCAATGATGTGTGACGAGCGTTCTTTCTAGTTGGGGATGCGTTACGGTCGTCACGAGGTGTGACGGTCGTCACCGTTACAAAATCTGCAGATTTTGCAGATTTGGTTCTTTTCTCTTCTGTTTCTTGTCTAGCTTCCTTCATGTGGTCCTTTTTCATTGGTTTGAGTTGACAAATGTTGTACCTGTGAAAAGACACAAAAACTCGGAATAATCGGGAGTTAGACGACTCAATGTATTATAAAATCGGTAAAAAGCATAGTAATTATATGATACGATTTCTCGTTATCATCTAGAACTATTTATCATATCTTGCACACTTAACAAACCGTTAGAGCATAAAATTGTTCTTCATACATTAAATATATTTTTATCATCAAAACTCAAGGATTAGTTGCAGAACCAAACATGTTCCAATAATCTCCCCATTTTTGATGATGACAAATCCATGTATTTTGATGAATAATTTTTCTATGATAAACGCATAATAAATTAAAACATCAGAGTTAGGTTTGTAAGCTCCTTTTGAGTTTAAGTTTAATAAAATATTTAACTTCATCAGAGTAAGGTTTATAAGCTCCCCTTGAGAATATTATCAAAATTTTCATGACTTTTTTAGAGTGAGGTTTGCAGGCTCCCTTTGAGAGTAAGACTTAGCAGATTTTGATATTCTAGAAAATTTTACTCAGAGTAAAATTGTCTGGTTAATCATAGATCCATAAGATTAGATTTATCTGAGTTATCACAAAGATTTAATCAGCGCAAAGCAAATAGATATTGCAATCATATTTATTTTTCTGAACATTACAATAAGATATATCACATGTTTGGGTTCTATTTTGAAAAACAAATATATCAACATAATTTTCTTTTTCTCCCTCTTTACCAACAATAAAAAAAGAATGAATAATAAGCACAAAATTGAATAAGGACAAAAAAAATCATTGAAGAAAAGAAGGATTTCAAAACACGGGATGAAAGCTTTAAACATGTAGATAAAAGAAACTACAAGAGTCAAACAAGATAAGAACTAAGGACACAAAGGTCCAACCTTAAAGTCAATCTTAAATGGCAGTTTTCTTGGGCTTTCATAGCTTCTAGTAGCTTTCAGCTTTTTTCCCTAGGTTTTTGAAGAAACATCAACCATAGTTATTGTTACTCCTTGTTGAATGAAAAGTTCTGAGATAACCCATCCAAAAGGAATGAAGGAAGGCATTCCCTCGTGAAAGGTCATGAGTGTCAGCTTCAAGTAGTCAAACATAAATTGAGGTGGATTGATCTTCAACCTTGATTTGAGGAGAAGCAGGAGAGACATGTCATCCATGTCAGAAATTCCTAATTCTGATTCCTAGGCAAGAAGTTTAATTTCAATCTTTGATGCCAAACTGATATCATGGAATGAAGATTAGAACTTTTGTAGTGTCAGAAAGATCATCAAAGATAAGACAAAATGGAAAATAGTAGTCCCAAACAAGAACATCTGGGGCAATACCTTCATCCTTAAAGTTTATTATACTAGCCATAATAGCTTAAATGATAGCTAAAGGATAGAATACTCCTGATTAAGTTATTTGACTGACGTATTTACCCAAAATTCCTTAACAAGATTAGGGTAAGTAGGATCAAAGAGCATATCGAAGTAACCATTACAGCCTTAAAAATAGACAATCTTTTGAAGATCAAAGCCTTGAGCCATCATTTCTTTAAAATTAATAAGCATATAATTAACGATGACCAATTGGCTTTCATCACCATTGATAGCTCTTAAAGTCATCTCGGGTTTAGGGTTTTCACAAGAATGGGTGATTTGGCGAAAAGGATTTTGTAAAACAAAGAATTGGTTTTAGAGAAAGGAGTCAAAGAAACAAGAATAAATAGAAAAGGATGTTAAAAGAGTTTATTTACTCCTAAGAAATGATATACCAAATGTGATAGTCAAGTGTGTTGTCAACTTAATGCAAGACAACCATCTTACTTTAAGACCACACAAAGACAACACTTTGAGTTCCAAACAAAATATACATAATAAAACCATTTATAAAAAATAATTTCAAAATAAAACTATTATAAATAAAGTAAAAAAGATGCAAATAAGGTTTAATAAGAAGGTGGAAGTCTAGAAACCATGGTGGTCAACAAGTTCTGAACCATAACGTTGGTTTCTTCCTGGCAAATCATCTGAGCCTTTACTTCATCATTTTCATTTTTCGATTCTTCCAGAGTCTTCATGATATCTGAGGGAACATTTTCAGCATCAGTGGGTACAGAGGCAGACATCCCAATAGAGGTTTCAATTCCAAGCTGAAGAACTAAATTTGGTCCAGATGAAGCTTTAACTTTAGTTTGAGAAATTGATTTCAGAACCAGGGAGGGGTTCTGGTGAAGGAAGCTCCAGAGGCTTGCATTGTAACTTGAGCTCAACAATAAACTTCTGAAATTTCATAGTTGTGTTCATACCTTCAGAGAATCTGATTGAGAATTTCTTCAAGACTTCTCAATACAAAAAGTCTCTGAGAAATTTAAAGTAGTAAAAAAACCAGTCTTTGAATTGATCCCATAATATATCACTTTCAACAAGATTGACACAACTTGTGAAAACTTATCTCATAAAGTGTAAACTCTTAACAAATTTTGATTCCATTATCGATAAATCTTTATCAATAGATGGTGTTTGAGGAAAGTATTCAGGTGAGTTTGTTTAAGGAGAATGTTGGCTAGTTTAAGACTCAGAGTCAGATGAGGAAAGGTTAATTACTGGTGGATTCTCATTATTGATTTAATTTGAAGTATGAGATGAGGTGTCTACGGGTGAGGTTTCAGAGGCAGGTGGATGTACAAAATTGGTGTGATAAGAAGAAGAAGGTGGTTGAAGGGTTGATTCTTTTGTAGTTTCAACTTCTTTGTTTGCTTTGATTTCAATGGTTTTAGTGGGGTTTTCATAAGCTCCCATGGTTTCTAAATGTTTAAATATTTCAGGTTCATTCGTTGGTTTGGAAATAGTAACAAAGGTTTCATTTTTAATAGGAATTTGGTAGTCAGGGAAAATAATTGATGGAGCAGTAGCATTAACATAATCAAAAAGAGTGAAAGTCATAGTATTAGAGGACTTACGGAGATTGTAACACCCCACTTTTTTGTTTAATTATTTGTTTATATTATATTGTATGTTCATATGAATTTACATGTTTTATTTAAAATAAATGAATAATTATTTTATGCTAAGTGGGGTGTAGTGAGTGTTTGAGAATGTGTGGAGAATAGAGTATTTATGTGAATTATTTAGAATAATTGAGAATAATAGTAATGTAGTAATTAAATTAAATAATGAGAGGAGTAGTATATTATTACTATATTGCATTATTATTTTAAGATTAAATAATAAGAGTAGAATAAAAATAAAATAGAAATAAAAGAGGAAGGACATTGTTGTAATGTTGTGAGCAAGTGGGGGTAGAAGAGGGAAATCCAAATTAAGGGTTTTTGGTTATTATAAGAATGAACTTGAGAGATTAAGGGGAGTTTTTCACAGTGTGTAGAAAAATAGAGAAAAAACTAGGGCAAAAGAAATTGCAAGGAGAGTCTAGAGGTTGAGGGAGAGAAGAACACTGAAACAAGATCATTCAACTACTACTAAGATAACCAGGTAAGGGGAGAGAATGATTCAATAAACGGGTATATGCATGAGGGGTAGACTTGAGTTGTCCTTAACCACCAATAGGGTTTGTATGATTATATATATTTTATGATAATTGTATGTGAATATGAAATTTGATAATCAATTGGTGTTATGATTTGTTTTGCATGTTGAATGTTTTACTTTAAATTATAAGTGTTACATAACAGGTTATAATTTAAGATGCGTGATATCCTAACATGAAATTATGATATATTCTTGAGTTATTTCGTTATATTACGCATGGAGAAATTTAGGGTGTTATAGAGATCCTGGTTGGGAGTAACTTCAGTAGATTCATACTCCATATTCTGAGTACCCTACCCTTCAGTAGAAGACTTTTCAACAACACATTCTTCATACGCGTGATTTTCAATAATATGTTCCTTAGAACCTTGTTCTTCAGCAGTAGGTTCTTCAGGAACACCAAATCAAACTTGATCCTGAAAAGTGAAAATCAACATGAAAATTAGCATCTTATAAAAGATTTATTTTTTAAATTTTTTACTAATAACCATATATTATATATATGTTGTTAATATTTCTACGAAGACCTACAAAATAAAAAACTATGAAATAGTCTGAAACGTGTGTGCTGGCAGCACTGTCCTCAAGAGTTTTCTGCGTATTATGCTAATCCTCTAGGATTTAATAGACTCTTCTCCAAATTTGACATAGCTAGAAGATTTCTAACCTATCAAATAACATTATCAATAATATAAAATATTTCTTATATCATTATTTTAATTTTAGTGCCCCAATTAGACTCTTTTGTTGTTAAAATTATGGATATATTAATTAATTTTATTTTAAGGGAATTACATTCTGTTGTACCTCAAAATTTTTCCTCTCACTTATCAATAATTTGCTCACAAGATCTCCTTTAGCTCAAGACTACATTAGGGTTTGATTAGCTCAAGACATCTCCTTAAGCACTAATGACCAAAATTAGGGTTTGAGTTTTCACAAGGAAATTTGAACCTCCAATGCCCCATATTACTTTCATGGATCATTATGGACCCCCAAGATTACTCATGTCAAGTTTCAAGCCTTGGATCATATTTTTGATCAGTCAATTAAGCAGTTGACCTAAAAATCAGTTGTATTGGGGAAAAAGTCAACTATGGCCAATTTACAGTCAAACTTCATAATTTTTTATCCACGTCAACATTTTAAACTCATATGTATCATTTGATAAAGTTTGGACCATAACTCCTCAAGAAATTTGATCAAATCTCCAAAAGGGCAAAATGGTCAAAATTAGGGTTTTGACTGGGAAAGGGCAATTTCTGATTTTTGACCTAGCAAATGGTAAATTGGTTTAAGGAATGATCTCAAGAGTCAAATCGAATCATTTTTACCTAATGACATGGTTCAAAACATTGCAAGTCCATTGGATTGACAGATGAATTTTTCAGTCAACTAATCAAAAGTCAATTGTATACTAAAAAGTCAAACTTTGACTTTTTGGTCAAAATCAAGTGCCAAAGATCATAATTCATCAAAATATGTCAAACTATGAAACTTATTCATCAATAAATCAAAAAGTCAAGATTTTATTTTGAAAAGTCAAAATTTCTAAACTTAGAAATGTTTCTAAGTGTTGGAAATTTCATATTTTTTCATAACTTTGAACAAATTTTTACCATGATACAAGATGATTCAAGAGAAACTTCTAACATGAAAGTTGTATATATCCATGAAATCTACAACTTTTCTTTACACAAGTCATTCCAAAAGTTCTTGGATCTCAAGTTATAATTTTATGAACATGTGGTCATAAAACTAAACACTTAGTGAAATTTTGCCCTAATTTGGTCAGGATTTTGACCCAACTTCATGGCACTTTTTCATATAGTTCTAAGGGGAATCTTCAAAAGAAATTCAAAGATGGGTTGTAGAGCATATTGCAAGCTTTCCAAAATATGCAAGAACTCCTTAAGATCATTCTTAAATAGGGATAATCGAAGAGATGAAGTTAGGGTTTTGTCACTTTAATTACAAGTCATTTTAGTGATGAACAAAATTCAAATTCAAAGTTGTGCTTCATAAACACTACTTTACAGGCCTCAAACTTGTTAGGCACTCCATAATTAATGGTTTTCACAGCTGTTAGAGGCCTCACTTCAAGCATTCAATGCATGGACATGCTTTTTATCCATTTTTGGAAGAAAGGTTACATTGCCATTTTGATAAAGCAACTTTTTGTACAAAACTTGTTCTTGAGCCTTGCACTTGTTCTCTTCTAATCAAAACAGTCCTATAACTCATGAGAAATGCTTCAAACACTTACAATCACCCATCCCATGCTTGTACCTCTTCTTGAAACTTATTTCCCTCTTTTCTTCAAAATCAAGTAACCTAGCCAAAAGCTAAGAACTTGTACTTCTGACTTGCCAATGCACTCAAACACTTTTGTTTATACATACACAAACCATTTGACACAAGGAGAAAAATTCTCAAGCCTTGAAAGAACCTAGAACTCATAATCACATTTCACACTTCCATTTTCATACAAACTGACCAAAAACTTGAAAATCATAATATACTCGTGAGTTTCTTGGCCTTTTGGTTTCTAAAGCTTCTAAACATCACATAGAATCAATCCCACACCCTGTTACAGAACTGTAACACCATTAACACCATCCTCCATTTTCAAAAGCTCAGCTCTGCACATTGACTTCTCCAGACCAATTCAGCCATCCATTGTTCAAGCTAATCATTGCATTAGCTTCCTAGGACCTCAAGGAAGCTAACCTTATCATCACAATCACTTGAAACAAGATCAAACTCAAAACAAGATTTCCAGTTTTGAGGTAAGTTTTCTCAACTTGAAACTCTTCATACAGGCATCATCAATGATTTATTTGTGAATAAAACATGTAGATATCATTACCCTAAAGCTAACCATGTCCATAGTTTCCATTAATTTTGCTTGAGCTTAGAGAATTTTGAAACTGAAATTTCTGAGATTTTTAGGTTTCATATTAGGGCCATTAAAATTCATGCTTATCTTTGATCTATAGTTTTAATGCTTTACATTTCTGAAACCATGAGAAAATTTTCTACAAGTTTCATGTTTACAGTTTTCATTTTTTATGAGAAATGAGCAAGTTATAGTTGGTCTGGCTGGAGGTTGAAGATGAAGTCATCAGGGCGCGTTTTGCCTTGTATATTTATTGTTTTGCTTATGTTAACGGATGTATAGACACCCTAGTGGTAGAAGCACGCTCCTGTAACCTTTGGGACCTAGGTTCAAGCCACAGTGGTACCCTTTTACATTTTCTTACATGTTTTCCATTCTGACTTTTCTTTTTAGACGTTGGGCCTCTTTGGGCCTTGTTTGTTTATTTTATTTTTTGTTAACTAACCTCCTGCAGGCTGTTTGTGCCCCTTGGCCCAAGTTTTTTTTTTCTTTTTTTTTTTATTTATTTCATTTATATTTTCTTAATTATTTTTCCTAATATTAAAAAATACAAAAATTAGATTTTTATTTTTCTCATAAAAAATATTTTTATTCAACTATACTTTATTTATTTTTATTAACTAGTCTTGTAAATTTAAATTTAAATACTATGTTTTTTTTTATTTTATTTTCTCTCACACCAATTAAAATATTTTATTTTTTATATAAAAAAAGCCAAAAATATTTTATAATACTATAAATATTTTCAAGAAAAAAATACCAACAAAAAAAAACATTTTTCTTATAAACTTAATTTATTTTATTTTAATAAATAGAACTAGGGTTTTATTTAAATCTTTTCTTAATAAATTTAAAGTTTAATTAATTATTTTCTTTAATTAATTAGGTTAAGACAAAATCCCTTTTCTCTAAAAAAATATCCAACAAATACCCATTTACTTCACATTTTTGCATTTTGTACATTTATTCATTTTATACATTATATCCATTTAAATTCCTTGTATATTGATACCCATTCAATATGGTTGTAATAGACTAATTAGGTTTGCATTCTTGCAATCCCCATTCAATTTGTATACCCCCCTCCCCACAAATGTTGTAATAGCGTAGTAACTTTAAATTTCGCAATTTATCGCTTTTATATATAACATGCTAGTAATTAGGGTTTGTATGGAAAGACTAAAACCAATACTTAGAAAACCCTAATTCAAGACAAAAATAAGCATGAAAACAATACACTTGCACACAAGCACCCCTAGGGTTATTCCACTTGGCTGCCTTACACAAAATGGCCATATTACGCATGTAAGGCATCTTAGCAAAAAACAAGCAAATACAAGATCATAGTCCCTCGATGACGCTATCTAAGTTTCCTTTCAAATGATCTTAGTCCCTAAAAAAAGAATGCTAAGATACCTTACAACATTGCTAATCATGGTTATACGATGACCCACGCCCGTCCCGTTTACATCCAAAGATAGGGTTTCTTACCAAATCAATGGTAAGATAACAATGTTAAAGGAAAAGAAAATGAACAAGAAAGACTTTTGAGTAGGTAGAATGCTCCTAATTACTTGCTCCCTTTCAAAACAAACATCCTTGCTATCTTTAAAACAATCACCTACACTTTCAAACATCTTACAAAATTGAAAACATTTTTAAAAGATCAAACATCTTTGTATACATTCTTACAAACAAGAATCATTACAAAGTTTTCCTAAACAATGGCCTCTTTACAAAATACTTTCAAAAAACCACAAAGCACAATTCAAACAAAAGCAAGTGATCTAGCAAGTAACTAAGAGCCCATGGAAAACCATGGATGAAAAGGGTGCTAATACCTTCCCTTTTCATAATCTACCCCCCGAACTCAAGAAGTAATCTCAAAGGTCTTTTCTGTGCTTTTTCACCTTTCCTTTGGATAAAAGAAAAGTCGGTGGCGACTCTTGCTAAACCGCAACATTTACGATCAAACACAAAATCTTCAAGTCAGTTCTCCCACCGTATCACAGAACTGACGACTCTGCTAGGGAAAATTCTAAAAGTGGAGTTACCTTAGGGTTAGATCACATTTACTTGCTTGCATTTTTTGACTTGTATGCTTTACATTATAATTATTTGTTTGGGTTTGAATCCTCTACCCGGATTTGGGATACATTATAGGTAAGTAGCAATACATTGTGGAAACTATGCGGGGTATACCGACATGGTCTAAGCAATAGTTACGTTAGTGCGACATTTTTGTGGGTACCGGTAGCCCTTGAGTTAATCAAGGAGAATACACGGCCGCTGAGTGATGTCATGAAGCATTAATGAACTTTTAGAACCTTTACTTGACCAACTTGGCCTTTAGAATGTAGTGAGATGACTGGCTTTGGTGTAGTCCGAAGTTGGTAGATACTCGATACTGCACTCATTGAGGTTTGGTTTCTTGGGATATTTCGTTCGCCATTAAAGAGGCTTGTGCTGAAACAATGACCAAGGAAACAGACCAATGATATTGAGCTCCTTAGAACCCGGTTACTATTACTAGGACAGGTTTGAGCCAACTAAACTTTAAGAGGGTACTTACCTATGATACTCCATGCAAGCTTAAACCTAAGGACTTGTTTGCTTTGTATATACATACTTGTACATAACACCATGAACATCATAACATCATACACATTCACTAACCATTTCAATGATTTTGGGATTCATCTTTGTTCTTGTTTTGTAGGATATGGATTCTCTTCGCAGGAAATCTATTCAAGTCAACCTTGTAAGGATCCCTCCACAACTTAAGGAGCTAGCTTCAAGGATTCCTGAAAACTCTCCATTCACTGAGAGACATGGTCGCCTACTCAACTTGGTCACCTCTAACACAGATGAGAACATGATGAAGGTGCTCTTTCAGTTCTTTGATCCTTTACACCATTTCTTAACATTCCCCGATTATCAACTTGTGCCTACTTTGGAAGAATTCTACCGACTCTTGAGGATTCCCATTCTCAATCAATTACCTTACAATGGTACGGAAAGAGACCCAAAGCCAGAAGAGATTGCTCAAGATCTACACTTGCACTCATCTGATGTCACAACTCATTGGGAAACAAGGAGTGATGTCAAAGGTTTCCTAGCAAAGTTCTTATTTGAGAAAGCCCAAAATTGTTGGAGTTCTTTGGACCTGCAAGCTTTTGAGGAAATTGTGGCTCTCCTCATCTATGGGATGGTTTTGTTTCCAAATCCTGACCAACTCATAGACGTGAACACCGTCAAAATCTTCATATCCCACAACCCAGTGCCTACATTTCTAGGGGATATCCTACATTCTTCCCCAATCTGTATTAAAGAACGAGCAAGGTTCAAGGTGGTCACAAAGGTTGATGACGCTCAAACATTCAGACATTCATTGGTGCTCCTGGTCCATAGAGAATGTTACTATTGTCGATCGTTATGGAGAATTTCCTAATGTCCCTTTACTTGGCATTAGGGGAGGTATCACTTACAACCCCTTCTTAGCCTTAAGACAATTTGGTTACACCCGAAGAGATGGCCTGCACGAGATGCTAATTCAAGGTTTGGTATTTGACTACGACAACAATGATCAAGGTCTTCTCTAGAGATTTATCTGAGCTTGAAGGATGTTAAACAAGGTAGATAGCAAGACTTTGGGGCATAAAAATTCCATCCCTCTTGAGCCTTACCTCAAATGGGTACAAACTCGTGCTCAGAGTCTTATGATGCCTTACCCCTCCATTCTCCCGGTAATCATTGAGCCCATCATGGAGGGAGATGTTCCATACACTATCCTACATCCTGACATGCCCACCTATCTTGAAGACTTACAAAGAGATTGGATACAACTCAAGGGGGAGCGAGATACTTTCGAAGCCTAATTCTATGCAAACGAGAAGAAGGTTTTGGAACTCACTAAGCAACTTCATGAGTAGCAGACTCTGAATGCCTACATCGGACCAAAGAGGATGCGTACTACCTTTCTATCTTAGAGTTTTTGTATTTGTTTTTCCCAAGAAGGCATTGATGTACTCAAGCTTCAATTTATTAATATAACGTGTGTTTCCTTTTTGTCTAAAACAAATTTGAATCTAAAGATCCTTGAAATCATTGCATATGCATTTACCATTCATCATAACATAAGAAGATTTCTTGCAACAAGTCTCCTCATCTCTCTACTGTTTATTTTAGTAAGATGGATCTTGAGTAAACGGTGAAGGACCTCCAAGCTCAGAATGCACAGTTTCAATAGTTGTTCTTAACTCTGGACAAAGGACAAGAAGAGTTGAAGACCTTGCTGGTTGAGGAGAAGAAAAATAAGACGAAGAAAATAACCGGAATTATGAACATGGGAAGAAGATTCCAAGGGCAAACAAGAAGGGCCTTAGACTTTGCAACGACATCCAGTGAGAAAGACAATCAAGACGAGAAAGGCAAGGAAATAGTTGTTTAGTCTGATTCAGAAGAGGAAGAGGAAGAAGAAGACTACTCTGAAGAACAATACCCTCCAGCCGACGACAAGTATAAGCATCTAGAAGAGCAGTTGAGTGCAATAGAAATCCAAAAAGTGCCTGGATTGGACTTTGAGGAGTTGGGCTTAGTATCGGGGATTGTCATTCCTCCAAAATTCAAAGTACTTGTGTTCGCCAAATATGACGGTGTTTCATGCCCTAAAATGCATCTCCGGTCCTATGTGAGGAAAATCCAACCCCATACCGCTGACAAAGATT